TCTCTTAACACTATGACCTAAGACTGACTTTCTTCATTGATGCTATAGTCACTCAATAGTGACTATCTGAGGAGATACATCATCACTCAGAATCATGAGAGTTTACTCAAAATGTGGAAAAGTAAATAAATGCCTGAAAGCTTAACTCACAAGCAAGTACATCTAAGATCAACTACTTGAAAAGATGGATAATGTGTAAGAAGACTGATAAAAAGAAATGAAAAACTACTAATATCAGGAATGAAAAAAGAGACATCACTATATATCTCACAGACATTAAAATGATAAGGGACATTAGGGCCAGGGATTTAGGTCATTGGTTCCACCGCCTGCTTTGAAAGCACACAAGGTCCCAAGTTCAATCCCCAGTATATAAAAAAAAAAAAAAGAACACCCTAGGAAAACAGACATAAAAACTCTATTCCAGCCAGGGATTTAGCTCAGTGGTACCACCGCCTGCCTTACAAGCACAAGGACCAGAGTTTGATCCCCGGAACAAAAAAAAACAAACAAACAAACTGTATTCCAACAAATATGGCAAATTAAATGGAATTAATTCATATATTGGTAAACATAACTAAATACTTTTCTTTAAAACATAATACTCCAAACTCAGATGCTTTCAATGACGAACTCCATCAAATATTTAAGAAAGAGAAGATGTAAAACACAATTTCTTTTGGAAAATGTAAGAGGAATAATTCCTAACATATTATGATGCCAGCTTTATCTTGATAACAAAATTTGAAGAATATATTGCAAGGAAAAATTGCGAGATCATCTTCACACTGATATCAAAATCTGACAAAAGATAATATTTCAAGAAAATTATATACCAATATTTCTCATCAACAGATGTGAAAATTCTAAACAAAATATTAGCAAAGAGTATCCAAATATATATAAAAAAGTAAATTACATAATACAACTGGCATTACATGGGAAATTAAAACGTGGTTTAAATTTTGAAAGCCAATATTACCCCAAACATCAACAGTAGGGCGAGGGATTTAGCTCAGTGGTTCCACCACTTGCCTCACAAGAGCAAGGTACCCAATTCGATCCCCAGTCCCAAAAAAAAAAAAACAAAAAAACGTCAACAGTATAAAGGAAAGAATCTATATAGTCTTTTCAATAACTGGCACAAAGAAGTATTTGCCAAATTCAACATCCAATTCATGATAAAAGATCCCAAAAACTAGGAATTGAAGGAAATCTTGTCAATGTGATAAAGACGATCTATCTATACCTGTGGTGGCAAACCTCTGACAAGGGTGTCGCAGCCAGCTGACCATTATCAATAAAAGCTCTACAAGGTCACCATCACTGACACAAACCCTACAAGTAACATCATACTTGGTAAAGAAGCACTGCAACTTTTTCCTCCAACAGGGCTAGAAGGCAGGATAACTTTTCTCACTACTGCATTTTTATTCAACAGTGTTCTGAATTCCGTACCAGTTAATTAAGTCAGGAAACAAAAAAAAAGGCATAGCAATTGTCAAAGAAAAAGTCAAATTGTTTTCCTACGGATCTCATGATTATGTATGTAGGAAATCCTATGTAATTTATCAATCAAACAAAATGTATATGTTTATGTAGATCAAATGATATGAGATCCATATACAAATATCAACTTTCTCATATTCACACTAAAGAACAAGAAAGCAAAATGAAATTAAAATTAATCCAAAAAATTAAAATATCCAAATATCAGACAAATATAGCAAATAATGTATACACCCTCTACCCTAAAAATTACAAACAATGCTGAGATGAACTAAAAAGGGCCAAAATAAACATAAAGGCATACTATGTTCATGAATTGGTAGACTAGATATTGTTAAAACATCAACTGTCCTCAAATTAATCTATAAACTCAATTGTAATTCCATCACAATAAGACAAGTTGAATGTAAAACATATATATATAAATGCAAAGGGAAAATAAGAGCAAAGGAATACTTTACAAAGAAAGAAGCTGAAGGACTTACCTTCTACAATTTTAAGATTTATTGTAAGATGATGAGCACAAAGACAGTATGATACATGCTGAAGGACAGACAATGCAATAGTTAGTCCAGATATAGACGGACCTACATGTATATCAGGAGATTTTCACAAAGATGGAAGGGTAGTATAATTTGGAAATGTTAACATCCAAGCAAATGGTCCTGGGACAGGTGGACATCCATTTATATAAAAAATGAAGCTTATGCGGGCTCAGTGGCGTATACCTGTTTCCAAGTACAGGGAAGCTGAGACAGGAAAATGGCAACTTCAAGCCCAGGCTGGGCAATTTAAAGACATAGCAAGGTCCTATCTCAAAATTTAAAATATTATATAAAAGGGCTGGAGATCAGGTCAGTACAAATTCCCTAGGTTCAATTCCTAGTCTTACACACACGCCACAAACACACACACACACACACACACACACACACACACAAAATGTGTCTTGAACTTACCCTAACATCATAACAAAAATTAATTTAAACTGAATTGTGAACTTCAATATACAATCTAAAATACTAGATCTGGGAGGAAATCTTTGTGCTGCTGCATCAGCAAAGATTTCTTAAGACTGAAAGCATATAAATACATACACATGAATATGATCCAGCAATTATACTCCAGAGTATTCAAGAGAAATGAAAGCACCATTCTACACAAAGACCTGTATATAACAGATTGTTCATAACACCAAAAACCTAGGAACCACTCAAATCTCCAATAAAGGAGACTGGATAACAAATTGAGGCATGCTACTAAAAAGGAATACCACTGAGCAATAGATCTTGTCATACTTATAAGAACATGGATGAGGGCTGGGGATTTAGCTCAGTGGTTCTGCCACCTGCTTCACAAGCCTAAGGTCCTGAGTTCACTGGTACAAAAAAAAAAAAATCCTAGAACATGGATTATCCTAAAAATACTATGTTCAACAAAAGAAGTCACATGCAAAAACTTCATGCTGTAGTGATCACATTTACACAAAACATGAAAAGAGATAAAGCTAATTTGTGATGATAGAATTTAGAAAGTAGCTACTTTGTTGAGACCACAAGGAAATTTTCTGGAATAAAGAATATGGTGGACATATAGTTCTGGTTGGAAATTCCTTTTGGGCATAAAAACTGTCAAACTCACCAAACTGAATATTTAAGATGTATGCATTCTACCATACATAAATAATACTTTAATACACTTGATCTTAGCCAAAAGGCCAAGACATGATTAATTACACTTTAGTATAAAAATATAATTAAACAGAATCAGCCAGCTTTGCATATATATTCTACATGAGACAATAGTAGAACTCTTTGATCAAATTGTGCTTTATGGCCTAGAAGCATTTCATTGTTTACTTCCTACACATTGGCAATATAGTCTACAAGTTTTTGAGACAAGGATGTTTTTGGTATCTTGTGTGTACCTAAAAGCCCTTTTTCATAAAAATACAGTGGGCCCTTGACTTATGAACTCGATCGGTTCCTAATTCAAGTTGCACAATACAGCTGGTATCTGAATGTTCACCTGTGTCCACACCACAGATGAGAAGAGGCACAGGAATCTTCCATGAATCTAATTGACCCAACCTGCTTGTATGTCAGGTTGTAACTTGAGGGTCCATTGTATACCACTCTCCAGGTATGGTGGCACATGCCTATATCCTAGCACTCGGAGAGGCAAAGGCAGGAGGATAATAATTTCAAGCACAGTCTGGGAAATTTAGAAAGTGCCTGCTCTAAACAATCCATTTTTAAAAGGGCTGGGGAAGTCTTTCAGTATAAAGGTTCTGAGTTCAATCCCTAGTACCAAAGGTGTATCATCACACAACTGTAAAGCTAGCTGCAAAGTAAATAAGAAGTTGTATTACGGTTATGAATATTATCTTTTATCAAGTGGATACTTAATTTTACTTGCAGCAAATATAAGGATCCAGCAACTACTAAAACCAGAACCTTGCATGTAAGACTGCGCCAATGGGAAGACACAGAAGTCCCTGAATCTCAGCTTTCTTATCTGTAAAATAAGAATAATTCAAGTAGCATCCTTATAGAGTTACTCCAAAGGCTGACAATTGCAAGTCTTACACAAATGTGTGGTAGATAGGATGCAATAAATATTATTATTTTATCTTATCACGATTATTATTAAGATTTCAATTAATTTTTATACACAGATACCACACTGAAAATAGCAGTCATCTGAGTAGGTCATCGAACTATCATCTGAGACAGTTTTTTTTAATTCCTTGGAAAAAATATAGGTATCATAATAAAACACAATCTTCACTTCATTTTTTCCAATTATAAGATATAGATATGAATAATAAAACTGCATGAGAAAGGGCTGAAAACCCTTTAACCATTTTAAATCATATTCTTAAAAATATTATTCATGGGAAATATGTTCTTAAACCACCTTTAAAACTCCACTAATTTAGAGGATGGGGCATGGCTCAGAGGCAGAGGACTTCCTTAGCATGTGTGATACCCTGGGTTTTATTCCCAGTACCACCAAAGGGGAAAATAAATCTATTAACTCAAGAAATATTTATCATCTATTCCACTGTGTCTTCCTTAAGTAAAAACATCACGTTAATTAAATATTGCTTATATGAATGAGTGAGAAGCTGAGATTTGGAAAACACTAGCTCTCACTAAAATCAGTTCTGAGGGGGGACTGGCAAGGTAAGGGAGGAAGTCATTATCATCTGAGCAGTAACTACTCATCACAGACTCTTTGGAAAGTTGAGTCTTCCTCTTCTGAAGAATCGATGCGTATTGAGTTATCCCACTGACAGGTAATCATCCCACTGACAAGGCAGATCTAATCCTATCTTCAGGGAACTAAATCCACTACAAGCCTTTGGCCTGAGATGTACTTAGACTAGAAGACCCTTTCTGATCCTTCCCTTGTATTCATTTATTTGGCTTTGAAGAATCAGCACATGATTTTGCAATGCAGCAAAGGGAACAGAGCAAAGCCAATACCATGGTCTTGGTCCGGGGCCTCCAGATTGTATCCATACCCCAGCAGCGTGCGCACCGCCTCGCGCAAGCTGTCCTTGTTTGACTTCTTGGTGCGGTCATCTAAAAGGGTATAGGGAACAAGACGAGGGTTTCTTCTATTCTTGACATCCTATAGGGAAAGAAGGTATGCATCCATCAAAGCAATGCCAGTGGCTATGGGAACTAAAGCAGCTACCAAACACATTCAAATTTAAAGGCTCTGAAGATAGAGGCTGCCCCTTCCACATTCCTTTTGTCTTCCCTGGATCCAGAAGTTACCAAAAAACTATCAATATAAAAGATTTCAGCAAATGAATAAGTGTATCAATTTAAAACAGACTTTCCACAAGAGAAAAGACAAGACAATAACAAAAGCCAGCTTTATTGGTCTCAAACCATCTTCCTGATGCCATGGTCTCAAGAACTGGGCTAACATAGAGAGCTATAATTTCTTATACAATTTTCTTTGAGCATTTGTTACTAGAGGAGCCAAATTAGTGCCGGTCACCCATCAGTGACTGTGAATCAATAGGCACACCAGGCCACTTTCCTTTCTTTACAGAAAACCCAGTGCACTGACAGCCATTCTACATCGCTCTAATGGCATGGAAAGTTGATTCCATCAACTGGTAAAACTGGGTGATATCAAGAATATTAAAATGACTTAATTGGTCTACTATAAAAGAGGCTGCAAGTATAAAATGGGACTAGCATGCCGTTGATAAAGAGTGAGGGAGAAGGCATAGAACTACTTTCAGGGAGAAGACAAAGACCTGTAAGTCTTCAGGGCATGGCCACCTGGGAAATCACCCTTTCCATTAACTGACAAAAAATTTGACAAAAACTCGATTCATGGGAAAATGTGAGCTGCACTCATACAGTCCTCCTATCCTCCTGGGGGTTCCTGTGCCTGTGTCGTGATGAAGGAGTAGCGATTTACTCTGCTGCCCTACTGAGGAGCTTGTACAACAACTAACGAATCATTGCATTACTGTTCAGAAAACCTCTACCCTAAAAAGCCTAAATTCTGACATTCATCTGGCCCTAGGGGTTGTGAATAAGGAGTTCTCAATCTATTTTTTATTATTTTACTTCAATCTTTTCATGTTTATTTTAAGTTCCTGTTACCAAACAACCTCAGAGTGGAAAATGCCACAAGCTCATGTTACAAATCAAGACTGTAGCATGACTCACTGTGCACCTACTATGTGTTTTTCATGATAGCACAAGTTCTCCTGTGCATACGTACACGAGCTTTGAAATAGCCATCATTTAATCTCTCCAGTTGCAAATCATGCTAATTCCCATTTCGCAGAAGTGAATCTCAGTCTACGTGTTCCTGGGTACCTGCTGAATGCCGTAGGTCCAGCCCTGCCGGATCCGATCCCGGGCCCAGACGTTGTGAGCGTTCTCCGCCAGCCTGTCCACCATCGCTTCCTGAGCGGGGGTGAGTTTTATGAAGCCCAGGTCCATCGGGGCAGGTTTGTAGCCACTTGTCAGCTGGTAACTACAAAGCAATGACCAAGAGACCAATCACTGACCTTTTCACAAAAATCTTACGACAATCTTGTCACAGTTCCACCTAATTCCAAAAAACTCCCACAAACCACAGTGGCGACTAGTGACAAAGTACTCGCAGGTGCCTCTTTCACTTCAGCTGATCACTGATAAGAAAAGCCACACGACCTTTAAATTCTCATTTTTATGCAATAACCCAGAAATGAGACAACTTACCTATTTTCCCTTCTCGGGTTTTTGTACAGTCTAAAGCAAAATACTGCTCATCTAAATGAACATTTGATGGTTTTCTCTTTCTGCAAAGCACTCATTTTTTTTTCTTCAAATTTTAAATGTTGTATTAATGAAATCTTTGTTTCAAAAACTGGTGTATCCTTTCAGGTACTGTTTGATCTTTATTCTATAGGGAAGTTCTAATACATTTGTAATTTATCGCCCTATTGCCATCCCTAAATATGAAGGAGAGAAAATCTCAGCTAGAAAATCACCTAAAATGTGAAGCCGTTTACTTCACTGAATTCAAGGAAGTTAAGGCAAAGGCCACTTGTGCACGAGAAGAAAGAGAGAAGATCCTAAAACAATTAGTTTATAAGTTTTAATCTTTGGAAAGAAATGCAAAATCGAAATTATGAAATTTTTCACCAACACACACATCAAAGGGAAGAGTGTGCCCTGTCCCACACAGACACACAACATCCCACTGCACTCCTGAGATTCACACAAATCCCAGGTCACAACCATGTCAGATTTTACTCTGGCTTGTTTATTACCAGTAATTGACTATACTTTTATTTGCTTTGCTCCATTTGTTTTCTAACTGCTATGAAGCCCCAAATCGCTCCCAGCAGCTAACCATTCAATATGTGATTTTTGAAGGAACTGATTTTGTCAGGTAACTATAAATAAATATGCATCTTCATCTCAAAGACGTCCTTTTGTGAAAACAAAGACAAGAACATTCACTAGATAATAACGCTAACGTTAAGAGTTGAATTATCAGAACATGTAGGAAAATGCTCCTTAAAATAAACTTGTAAATGATCTTTCTCTGGTCCAGGGCTGCTGGCATGAGAAAAGCAGGTTAGCTCAGTTCACTCTCAGCCTCCAGGCACCTAGGACAATTCCCCACACTCCACAAGCACTCAAGGATGTGTTCGATGAACCCCTGTATTGCAGCGATAGTTAAGTTTCAAAGTTGAATAAAGTTACCTTTACCTTAATTACTATTTCAATATCAAAATTCTCTCATTTTATAAATAATTTATCTACAGGCAAGAGTCACAGAAATATTGTTTTAAGTGGATTAGACTGGTCTATCAGTAATTATGACTAATGACAGTACTGCCTTATCTCAATTTATACTATCATACATTATACACAAAATAATTTTCAATCTTCAATCAGTATTCTGTGTGTATGGGTAATTAGCAATACTCTTCCCTCTTTTTCTGTATAAAGAAGCCATATGGCATTTTTTAACCACTCCTCCAAATCACCATAAGCAACAGAAATCTGATGTTTAAGTGGACAAATGAAGCCGTAAACTGTAAGGACAAGCACCTATACAAGTTCTTGTTCACATGTTTTCCGAAAGAAAGAATTCCCAATGCACTCAAATACCTTTAAAGGTCATCACGTTGGCACGGTCTAATTTCCACTGTGACACTGTTTGCAGGAGGCAGCTCTCAGTGTGACCTGAGCCCAGTCTTTGCACACCCGCAACTCCACCTCGCTTCCAACTCCCCCGGCTGGCCCACAGTCACCCAGCACATAGCAGCACGCACACACACACACACACACACACACACACACACAAATGCCCTTCCTAGCTCTCCAGCTTTCCAGTAGCCTTGATCCCACCTGGCTGTCACAGAGAACACACAGATGATTAAGACTGATATTAATCTACAAATCATTGAGTATAACCAATGCTACTATATAGCATCTTTAAACAGGAAGGATTCCCCAGGCAACCAATTCCAGTAGGAGGCTTTCCAACAGTTTCTCTTGGACTGAGAAGGTGTCTTTGAAAGGTGGAGGAATGGACATCCCTTCCAAATAAAACATACAGGTAACATACATTCTATTAACATGTGAAGCCGGATTATACTGATGTAACATTTCCCTTTGTATTCTTTTTTTTTTTTTTTTTTTTTTTTTTTTTTGTTCCGGGGATTGAACTTGGGTCCTTGTGCTTGCATGGCAGGTCACCGAACCGCTGAGCTAAATCCCTGGCCTTCTCTGTGTATTCTAAGTCTTCCTCTTCCTTGGCAGAATAGCTTCTGAGCTGTTTTAACCTCTCTTTGCAGTGAAAATGCATGGAGACACATTTGTCTCTTGGTTTCAAGTAGTGTAATAATTAGTTCACAATCACTTCCAGTTCACTTGATTTTCTGTAACTGCAAGACAGAAGTGAAGCTTAAAATAATTCTTTTAAATAGCTAATAATCCAGCCCTAGTTTAAGTTTCTACCACTTTACCTGAATCTTTTTATGTCCATGTCTGTTGTACTGCAATGTAGATAGCCGCAATACAAATATCTTTGAAATTCATCAATTCAACCAATTGTGTATGATGAAACTATTTATTTAATAAATGTTCCACTAATATAAATTAATGCTATGAATGAATGGTGATTTATAAAGCCCTTTTCCCACTTGCAGATTATCTTAACAAAGGAACTAGGAACAAAATTATTATAACAAAACAAATGGTATTTTAAAAACCAAATAAATGTACTTTGGGAGATAAGGCCAATTTCAGCTTATTAATATCTCTAATAAGGTACAAAAAGATCTACTGACTGCTACTATAACCTATTATCTTATTGTGATTGGAAATGAACAGGTTTTAGAATAAAATGTGATTGATGTGAATCTTGGAGAGTAAAGGGTTTCAAACAAAGTTTCAGAGTGATTCATAAACCTTTAAAAGAAATACAGGAGAGTTGCTGTAATAATTCTTGCTAAGCAAAATTCTGTAGCCCCCCCCAAAATAGAAGAAATTCTTATGGTTATTAACTATATTAAAACAAAATAATTATAGCATATTAAAAGACATCCATAAATCAAAGACATCCATAAATGACATCCTGGGAAAAATGCCAGAATCAGCCACTCTCTCTCTCTTCCAACACGTGTTGAACAGGTATAGCTTTTACTTTCCTTCTTTTAAAATGTCAGGCCTGTGGCATCCACCACCCTACAACATTAGCTTCTGAGGAATTTACAGAGAATGAAACAAATACATTCAACCCAATCACTTTCCAAGTATTGTCATTATTTTGTAGTTTTATTAGCTTTTAGTTTTGTTTTGGTAAGCATGTAATCTAGTAATACAAAATAATAAAACAGCAGTGAGAGTAATAAATTAGCTAAACAGGCTGGGCTTTGGTGTCCCTACAGTAAAATTTCTTTCTAAAATACTTCTGCAGAAAAGAACAAAAAACAGGGTTGGGGATTTAGCTCAGCAGTTCGGTGGCCAGCCTTGCAAGCACAAGGACTCGAGTTCAATCCCCAGTACAAAAAAAAAAAAAAAAAAAAAAAAAAAAAAAAAAAAAAAAAACGAAAAAAAAAAAAAAAAAAAGAAAAGAAAAGAAAAGAAAAAAAGAACGGAAAACAAAACAAACAAAAAACAAAAACCTGGCAAACTGCCAGTTGTACTTGCATCAGATTACCAAAGACATACACAAAAAACTGACAGCACTGGGTCCAGGAGATGAACTGTCCTGTGAAGCAGCAATCCAGTTTTATAGTTCGCAGTCACATGGCCCAACACTTCTCCTAAGCAGGTATTCCTCATGAGCCTCTGAAACAAGTCCTTGGTATAATTTCACTGAAGAGCCAATTAAAGTGATGGAACAAAAACGTGGCAGAATACCAAAATCTCTAAGAAGCAAGCTTTTCCTTTTTTACACAGCCACCCCCACCTCCTAAGCTTGCTTGTTTGTGTGAATCAAGTTAAATGAAGCTTGGAAATCATTATGTTGTGAAAGATGCACAGTAAACATAAAAAGATGGTGTCCAAGTTCAGTGGATGTTAGCTGTAAATTTCAATACCGAAGCAACCCTTCAAGTGCCTTGGAACAAATGGGAAAACCTCAGATGACTGCACACCAGAGATATTAAGAGCAAGTTTTGCTGGAAGCATAGCCACAAGAGATGAATACTGAGCTCACATTTTCATAGAAAGGGTATAGAGAATATTCAAAAATCATTCTCCAGAAAGCGAATAACAGAAGAATTAATCTTAAAACAAATTCAAAAGGGAAACGAGAGATATATATTTTTTTCCATTTTGCTTTTTGTTTTAAAATGAACACCAAATACAGCAATGTGTTCTGTGCTCCCATCCTTGTTTCTTTTTACTTTATAGCTTTCCTCCACACCTTGGATGCCTGAAACAAGACCACGAAACACTCACTGGCCCTAAAAAAAAAAGGTCATTTCAAAAGAGAAGCCACACAAAAGCTAACTGTGGTTTTGGGGTTTTTGAATAGCTTGTAAATGCAACACAGAGACAACAGTCTTTTAGAGGAGGGCCTGGTGAGAGTACAAGCTCTACCTCTGAGGACCCAAAGGCAAAGCCTTTATGACTTGCATGGAAAGGAAGGAGAGACAGTCTGAGACAGGCTACGTGTGGCAGGGTCTACAGGTAGGAACAGTCAGGAGAAAGTAAGCACTTTTTCCACAACTTCCCTGGTACGGATTGGATAGATCCTTGCAGACCACGGTGAATTTCTGCCGTTTTCTAGACTGTGCCCAGGAAAATGGTCAAACCTAATCATTTCATACCCCAAGGGCCTTGTGCAGTACAGCTCAGGCAAACAAACATTTCAAGAGAAGAGATGAGGCGCTGGGGGACCAAGTCTCAGGTCTACAGCTAAGCCTTCCTCCTGCCGCAACACACTGCAATCCCATGCTGCTGGAGAGCCGTGGATTTCAGGCTTCCCAAAGAGCCACGGGTGAAGCACAGAGATGAACAGGGCCC